CTTCCCGGAGGAGAGGACAGAGACGGATCGTCGGGAGATTCTTCGAAGTCTGAGAAATGACTCGAACAGAAAGTAGTATTGGGCCTTAATGGGCTACGTTAATCTTAGCCCAAACACTATGGGCCTAGTTCGCAAATAAGTAGAGTCTTTCTTGTGCAAGGTAATTAAGGTTGATATTTTGATTAGCAAAACGCAGTGACTGAATTGCTTCTTACTTGTTTTTGAAGAGTTTGGTCAACAGACTCAAAACAAAACAAAGGCTAAACCTTAACAGACATTTTTGTATCATGGAGAAAGTTTATGATACGTAAATATTTGTGTTAATGATTTTGCAAATTGTAAAAGCAAACGATAATCTCTTTATTTGTGTGTTTACAAACTTCTAATGACATTTAGCAAAAAAAAAAATGCTAAAATTTTAAATTTCATAATGTAAAGTTGTAAACACAATTTGCAGACAACAGTGCAGGAAAACGTAAAGCTCTATCTTTACGATTTTCTATGTTATTACCGGTCTTTTGCCAAACTAAATGCTCAAATAGGTAACGTATTTTAGTAACCTTGTGACGATGGCAAAACCATATGAGTACTTCAAATAGCTTACTATTATTGTATATTTCAGTTACGGAAAGAAAGAGAAAACTACTGCAAGGAAAATCGTTTGGATTATTTGGGAACTCTTATCACTAAAATCAATAGAAGGAAGTTCTTAGACCTACAACTAAAAAGCAACATTTCATTAACTGTGTAGCCTTCATTTGTGTGTTGCTGATGGAGCTGTGGCAATGCGCGCGCAGTTGTTCTTGAGAAGAGGAGGGAAGAACGGGTTCAACGGAAACATATGAGGCCAACAGTTTGCATCTATTGCTGAAAACGTTTTGCAACACTCTGCTCCAACATGTGCAAATTGACCAGAAAATATCGATTTGTAGATTTTTTCCACACAGCCTTGAACTTTAAAGAGAGATGACCAACATTTTGCGAAATCAATAGTAGAACCCGGTGGGAAAAGTCCGGGAATCGTAGGGACTTGAGCTGATCCTGACCTCACTTGAAGAACAATGGCCATAGCTAAGATCACAAATACAATAGCTCCTGATGTGTTTTCCATCTCTCTCGGACCGTTTTTACTTTTTCACCTTTTTATGATTTGACAATTATGTTAATGAATAGTTAGATGCTTGGATGATTTGGGTGGGCTAATACGGATGCCACTTAGATTTATAGGACCATGAAATTAAAACAGTTGAATTTAGTTTTGAAACGTTAGCATAATAATCAAGGAGTCAATATTTTAAGTTTTTACTTCGAAAGTAACTCATGTCAAAGATTTCATTTTATTTTCTAAAAGAATTAGTGTTTTAAGTTATTCAAATGAGTTAATGTTCGAATTGACCAAAGTTTATGACCTTGTTTCGGTTGGTAAATTGGATGAAATTCATGTTCTTAACTTGGCTTTTAATTAGTTTTTATGTTTATTCTTTGGGTAACAGAGTTTTTTAGATTGAAAGACATATTAACCTCCAGCTACAAATTGATCTTCAGTTTTGAATTTGATTAACAAACATAACTTTATTGTGGTCTCACGTATCCTCAGTTTTCTACATGAATTAACATACGGTTACAATTCTTTAAAGAACCGTATAGTTTTATTTGTTTGAAACTTAAAGAATTGTAAAGTTGACATTGAAACCTCTGTAGATGGTCATAAGGCGTACACAATGCCGTGTCTAGATTTCCGAGAGTCTAAACCGATATTTAAATATGTACTTTTATTTAGGTATAAGATATATCATATAAATATGAATTTTTTTCTTATAAAAGTATATTCAATATAGCGTAAAGTTATATTTAAGAGTTTCATATATCAAAATTTGAAACTGAAATTCAAATGCATATATACAACTTTTACTAATTAAACTATATAAAATTTGGAACCCTAAAATATAGATGTGAAATGGGGTCTAAGGCGATTTGCGTTTCTACAATAAAGTAAGCATGACCCTAGTTCATGATA